TTTTCCCGCGCGTAACTAATTGAAGGACTTTAAAAAATTATTTTTAGACTACTAAGAGTGGATAATAATAGTGTTAAATGAAGTGCATTAGAAGTTTAGTGCACAAGTGAAACAAACCTGAGAGTAAACGTGCACGAAACGCGCGCTGTGCGCGCACTATTCAAAGTTGACTTTTGTGCCAAACTTAAACCACCAACTACCAAGCTTCCAAGAGAAGCTTAACCATCAGCCTTTACACTCTTTCTTCTTCACTCACGGCTGGCCGAAACTTAGCTAAGGAAGAAGAACAAGATTTTCACTTCATTTCACTTCAAATCTTCTCACTATTTCACTCCAAATTCATCACACAAACTCGCAACAACTTGGAGATTCACTTGGACTAGGAAGAGAGCATCTTTCTCACGGTTTCTTGGAGCTCTTAGTAACCCAAAATTTCTGATTTTTCATCATCCAAGAGGTGGTAATCATCTAACCTTTTAAACTTGGTTTTAGTGAGTTAAATTTGACTTGGAAGCTTGTAGCTTCATGTGGGTATCTTTATTTGGTTGAAAATCATTTGAGTGGGCTCTATGAAATCCCACAATAGACATGTTGGACTGATATGATGATTATGGTTGTTATTTATGTTGATTAAGTGTTAAACAAGTGGATATAAGTTGAAAAAGTGGTAGGAAAATTAAAGGAAAGTTGAAGCTAAGAAGGGCCGAATTCTGTCCTGTTCTTGCCGAGCCCTTGGTTCGATTTTTTTGTGATTAAATGACCTTAAATTTGTTGTAGATATATTGTATAGGATGTGTGGAAAGTTTCCACCAAAAATCACTTGATTTGGTTGGGCAAAAGTTGGATTTTCGAAATATCTTCAAATCTGGAAAACGGGTAACAGGGGTTCTCTGGCAGTAAACTTTGAACGATCATAACTCTTTGCTCAGACGTCGAAATCAAGTGCCGTTTGCGGCGTTTGAAACTAGACACTTCCAGTTTTCTAACGATATAAAATGCATCCCCTGATTCGAAGTGAGTGAGCCGTACTAGTTCACCAAAGTTACATGTTCTGTTTTATTGATTTGCTAGAAGGTCAGTGATGAGCTGAGGCTTGTTGCTTGAATTTGAGCTAGTTATGAACTGAATTTCAGAACGCTTTCTTCTGAGGAATTGTAGCCTTATGAATGTAGTTTCCAACGCCACCAACCATGCTCAATTCCAAGTTGAATTGAGTGAGTTGTGGCCAAATTACAGAACTGCCAGTGATAGAAAATCCTAATTTTGGCTAGCCGAATGGCCTAGCTTGACTTGGGACTTGTTGTTTTGCAAATTTTGATGTCACGCCACCACCAAATGTATATTGGATATTTCTTATACTTTTGTTTCATAAATGAGCCAGATTTGAGTCGTTTTCATTGGACAAAATGTTTGAAAAAGGAAGAAAAAAGCAAAAGACAGATTGGTCTTGGGATTTTCTTGAACTTTGATAGTTTGGTACACTACCTTCCCGTGTGAATTTTCCAATGAAATTTGGTAGAGGAGTAGTCCTCATATGGAAATTGAGTTGTACAATTTTGGTGTCAATCCAAGACCATTTCGATACCCAAATGATGGTCCAAAGTCGTTTTTTCAAATCTGGAAAATGTGCAATCTGTCTTATTTTAGCTAATTTGGACTGCTATATCTTGATACTCGAAACTCCGATTTTGGTTCCGTTAGTTGTGTTTTAAACTTTGATTGTAACTCTAATTGAGTTTCAAATTTTAGAGGTTAGTTCACATTCTGTGAATTTTGCCGATTTTCAAAGTTTGCCAAAAATCAACCCGAATCTGTCTTGGAAGTGTAAGTCAGAACTTTAAACCGAAATTTGAGTGTCTTCCATTTAGAATCATGGAAAAGTGTCTTCTAGGAACTTTTAGTACTTTGGAAGTAGTTTCCAACGGTACAAGTTTTTCAATTTTGACCTACAGAGAGTGAGATATGATCTTTCAAAGATTGCACCTCAAATCTGGAATTTCTGAACTTAAAAGGAATTGAATATTTATAAACTCTCAATTACCCTTCGATATTGCTTGACCGTTTTACACTTGATTTCAAAGATGAAAATCAGTTTTTTCTTGTATTATTAAACCCACTTTTGAGTTTCGATTTACGAGTAATTAAGGTTCTCTTTCATGATATTTTCTTAGATTATACAAGTGTACAATCTCTCTTGTTAACTAGGAATTTTTAAACAATGGTATATGATAGTCAATTATTAATTGCTCAAGTACTCAAGGAGACCTTCAAGAGGATCTCACAAAGGACGCCTAAATATTTGATTGTGCACCACTCTTTTTTGATTAGGTGAGTGTCAAGTGCATGTTTTGTTACAATTATGTGAATTGCTCCAATTGGACTGAATAATTGATAACTGCTGAGTCGAGTGTTTACTTTATCGCATTCGTTCTCATTTAAATGAAATGAAATTAAATTACCTGAACTGAATTGAATTACTTAAACTGAATTATATGCTATGGCTGCATATGTCGTTGGAGTGAATCTCCTCGACCTTTAACTGAACTGTATACATATCGTTGGAGTGAATCTCCTCGATACACAACTTAATTGGGAGACGCCCAAACTCATCGACCGACCTTGGACTCGAACCGGCAAGGGTTTGGTCGGAAGTTTGGTGAGCCATGAGAAAAACTAAAAGGTTGATCTATTGGAGAGATCATGCTTGGCATACTCGTATAGTAGTGCCTTTATAGAAGTTCGGGCCCAGTGGGGTATGTATGGTGGACGAAAAACGGATAAGTGAAGTTTCTACGGACTAAATATCGACCCGGTTGACGAAGTGTCATCGCGGGGAGGTAATTGATCGGGCATTGGCAAAGCAAGTGGAAATTAGCTCCTGAGAGTTCCCATATCCTTGAATTGTTTCTGTTTACTTTTCTCACTCGAATTGTTAATTACCTGAATATTATTGTTTTACTTGTTAAATTGTGATTGTTACTTGAACTATGTGTTTGCATGTGTGTTTCTTGGTCTCACGAGCAATCGCTCACCCCGTAGATTTGTTTTCCTTAATAGGTGGATTGGAAGATTTTGGAAAAGCCGACTAGGTTATACTTTTGATTGAATTTTTGGTTGTAAATGTTTAGTTGACTTTTAATGGTTGTATTTTGGAACTTGATGTATCTTTTGAGAATATGATGTAAGATTTGAATATTCAGTTAAGGAAGTAACTTTTCTTCATTTTAGACTTGTATTATTTGGTATGTATCATTAAGTTTGAATTGAATTGTCTTGAGTCCTGACGAGAGTTGGGCAGGCGTCCCGCGGATACCCTTGGGTTCGTCCTTGGGAGAAGTGGGGACGTCACACATCCCATTCATTTTAACCATAGTACCTCTCATAATTGGTTGTGTAAAATCAATTTCAGCCAGGATTTTCATGTGTCTACCATCTCTACTTCCAAAATTAGGAATGACAACCTCTTTTACTGCTGAAAAAACCCTGCCTATTTTCTTACCTGCTTCCTTGGTAGGCTAGCTAATTAGCAGATTCCAAATTTGAAACCAAGCCAGAGTTTTCTTGAAGGCCTCTTGATCTTCTTCCACTCCTTCCCTCCATGGTTGGAGGACTAACGGTTGCCCATCAAAAATCCACAGCCTTTTGTTCAGCATTTTTTCCTGCTCTTCCTCATTCCTGAAAAGTGAACTGAAACATGTTTATTCCCAGCTCCATAACTTTCACATTTTTTGCAAACACCCAAATAGTAGTTGTGAAGCTTCTAACCCCATTACATTTGCTACTTTATTCGGTAGACCCTTCCAATTAGACTTTTGCGGCATTCCTCTCTACACCCTTTCACATCATCCATGTTTAAGCATTACACCTTCATGCTTCTTCTTAGTTAGTACAGAATTCCTCATAATGTTCTTTAAATCCTCCATAGCAGTTCCACAGAAACTTCCACAGACTATTCCTGCCCTTGTATAGACTTCCCAAACCTCACCCTCAGAGGAGAGAGTTTTCTCTAAGAGCCCAATAAGTACCCGGAATCCAACAGCCACAGATTTGAAGCAAGAGGGCAGCAAGGTCGGCAGAGACAATTGAGACGTTACTAATCTATTACCAATCAGATCGAGAAAAGGAACTGACAAGAAAAAAACTAAGATAAAGCTTTTCCTACAATTCTACTACTATGAAGACTACTGATCTAGGAAGAAAAAGCTATGAAGAAACATATGTAGACTGAGAGCAATGTCATTTGATTTTGTTTTTATGAGGTAACCATCTGAGCTCTGTGCAGAAGATCATCACCAAGATATTTTGTTAATAAACCTCCACCTCTCTACAAAAGCTTTGAAAACTAGGCTAAAGCAAAGTATTTTGTCTGAAAAAACTTAAAAAGGTAGCATTCCTACATAGTCTAGGGATTTGTGAGCTTTAGGAGATTCAAGGTTTGATGAAGTTCATGAATAAAGTTTGAGGAAAATTGGAAAAGTTTAGAGATTTTGGAATTTTGAAATTTTTCGAAACCACCCACCACAGTGGACTTTCCCTCTCTAAACTAGAGAGAATTTTCTCTTACAACAAGAGACCACTAAATAGGAAGATTCAATATTCCCATTTTACAAATTTTCTCAAATATTTTCAGCATGTTTCTATTCTTTAAAGTGCACAATATACACTCGAATGTGCACGTATGAGTGTATAAGCACAATACTGGTAAATTTAGAATTTCCAAATGGCGTCGTTTTATTTACAACTAATTAATAGTACTCAACTTCCCATTCCCAAATTTCCATAAACTTTCATTCTTCTTATTAATGATGAATCTTCCTATTCCCATTTACCAAATTTTTCCAGAATTGTGCTTGAATTCTTCTTCTTCAAAGTTGATGTGTTGAGGACATACTTAATGTTACTGCCTTAAAGTATAATGTACTACATCCAGTAAAAGTCTATTATGTCTTCAACTTATTTCTGATCTTGATGCTATTCCTGTGTCCTAAACCTGTTAATGCTTTTACATTTTGCAGCTAGTTGGTACCGACCACTGTACCTTCAACTCAACACAGAAAGCTTTTGGAATAGATGATTTCAGAAAAATCCCAAATGGTGTCAATGGTAATCCATCTTGTCCTTTGCTTACAAATAGCACGAATCATGAATGTAGTCCAGATGTTATTTTCTAATTTCTAAAGGCAGTGTCTTACTTGGAATTGACATGTAGGCATTGAGGAGAGAATGCATCTGGTTTGGGATACAATGGTGGTAAGCTGTACTGGACCTCATCAGTCATAGAAAATTATATACACAAGTGTCCAATAATAAATTAACTGAAACCATATCAAGATAGGTAGCCTTTGGAGTTTCTTCTTTCCTAAAAAAGGACAATTCTGTTTCCTGGTTTATTATTTTTCAGGCCTCAGGGAAAATATCTGTCACTGATTATGTTCGAATAACAAGCACTGAATGGTATACCATCACCAATCTTATCTTTTGACTATTCACTTTAAGCATTTGTTGTACCTATTATACTTTTGAAGATCCTAGTTTTTGGCTCTTCAACCTCACCTGAGCTACTCAGTTGTTGCATCTTGGCCTTTGAAATGAATTACGTTCTAGTGCTAGGATATTCAATATCTATCCACAGAAGGGAGCAATACTTCCTGGGTCGGATGCAGACATAATCATATTAAATCCCAATTCAAGTTTTCAAATAAGCTCAAATTCTCACCATTCAAGATCAGATACAAATGTCTATGAGGGATGGATTGGGAAGGTAATTTTTCATTACTGCTTGTTATAATTAAGGAATTGAATGTGGCATCGCTTTCTAGAGATTAAATTACTTTGAGCTTATTTAGATTTATAGAGTTCTATAGCTGATCACATAGCGATTGTCAAAGTCCTATGTGATTCTTCTTTGATTTTGAGGTTTATGATGCATTGTCCAGATAAAATTTCATGCTTGTTATTTCATTATCTATACAATATTGCATTCTACTAAAAAAAAATATCCATACAATGTTGTGCAATCATCAATGGGACATCCATTATGGACTTTAAAGTGCTATGAATTCCCGTTGTTTGAAAACTATCCGATGGACATCTGCTTAAGACATTGCTGTTACAAAACAATATTTTGAAGGACATATCAGTGCCCAGCTTTCAGTAGTTTATTTGTAAAGAAAATTGCCACCTTGAATTTGTGGAGGATTTGGCATGTGTAGATCCTTCAAATTAGGTCTAGAATCAAGTGCAATCTAATGAAAGATACCTGCTATTTTATGTGGTTAATCTTCAGTTTCATATAATCAGTTTTATAATTAATATAGTTCAACTAATAGAATGAATTAATGAGTATTTACTGTGTTTTTTGGGCATTCTGCTTTATTATGTTTATACGCATTAGAAATTTGGATATTCTGGTTGCACTGTAACAAGTCAAAGAATATCTTATTAGTGTTATTAGATGTACTTAAGAAAATGAAAGTAACTTGCAAAAGAAAATCTTGCTGCATATATAAAATTCTCTAGGTCTCACTCGCAACATACCTTCTTCATTTCAGATTGACATTGGCTCTTTGTATGTGTTGAATTTGGAAGATTTTTGTTTTTGATGTTCTGCAGGGAAAAGTTGAGATAACTATTGCGGGTGGAAGGATTGTTTGGGAAAATAACGAACTAAAGGTTAAACGTGGTTCGGGCAAATACATAAAAATGCCTCCTTTCAGTTATGTTTTTGATGGAATTGAGAAAGCAGATGCGAGTTACATCTCTTCCCTAAGAGCACCAGTAAATCGATTTAAAGGCATGCAATGAAATGCATGTTCAAGTTATGAATACTTGTAAAGTAACAACTGAATACTATATAGTTTTTCGTTTCTTCAAAGCAATAAGTTGAGGGATTACGTTGATGTATTTTATTTTGTATCTCTTTTGTGAAATGTTATATGGTGCCAAATGGGTGTAAGATTGTTGGCACTACTTTGTCACAAATTGTTCACTTCATCCTTTAAGGGAAACCCAGGTTATCCTCCTTGTTTAGCAGCAGTAGTTAGATGATTTTGGTTCCGAATGTTTGCTTTTGGATTTCATGCTTGGGTTTTTATGAGGTTTTTAGCTGCTATACTATAGTGCAGATCACAGTTGAAATTCTCTCATCTTTTCGATTTCAAATTCACTCTCTATACTTGTCATTTGAAATCCTCCTTGTAGATGCTTCCTTAGCCTCTTCCGTTGTGTGAGTTCTTTTAGAATTGGTACATCCGAGTTAATTTAGATGCTGAGTTTATTGAACTTTTACCTTGATTTTATTGGTTGGTTGAGATGAAGATCAGATAAAATCATGTTTATATTGTCAAGAAATTCTTGAAAACATTTGCTATGCCATTTGGGGTGACAGTTTGCCATTGATTGGTGCTATGGAGTACTCATTGCGAGTTTAAGTTCACTTGGTTGCTCGTAGCCCTTTTTGTTCAATTTTGAGATTGGAATCGAATTATTGGCAGCAAAATGAGTGGGATGTATATGTCTTCATCCAAAAGAACTAGTAGAAGTTGTTTCCAGTGGTAGCACAACTAAATCCTACTTGAGGACTTTGTTTGAAAGGTAGAGATAGATTAGGTTTGCAGCACAATTAATTCCTACTTGAGGACTATGTTTGAAAGGGAGATATTCAAGTGCACAAACTTCTATGCAGGGTTGTCCATTGCTCCTGTCTTGTACATTAGTAAATATGTTTTTTCTATTGTTCCTATTTTGCAAAAGTTTTGGCTAATGGCCACCCATTAGAAAATTTTTTTTTCTAAACAAGCATATAATGTTTGAATTAATCTTTCTTACATAGTTATACACTATCAGTGTTTGATAAATGATAAATATGTAAAATTTGAATTTAAAATTCAATTTTTACATATATTTCATGGATCCAATAGTGATTGTGTATATACTGTCATTGTATATAAGATTTACTCTATATATTTTATTCCACGAATACAATTGACACAGAAAAGATTTTTTCTTGACTAAATCTGAAGGTAATTGATTTCAAATATTTTCTATTACTATAACAATCGATTTCTAATCATTTCCAAAAATGTTTTTTTTTTTGTTTTGCCAATTCAATTGATCGATGTCTCAAATTCATATTCAAAATCTAATCCTTGAATCCAAAAATAGCATAATAGATACAGGAGCTTGCATTTGAATGTATTTTAATTTGGGAGAATGATGTTGTAGATTGAATGGATCTAATTTGGGAAAATTATGTTGTAGATTGAATGGATCGAAGCATCACCCCCATGGTGGCCTTTTTTATGTAACACGAAAACTTGGTAGGCACAACAATTTCGTAGAAAAGCTCAAATATCGAATTGCACCTGAATTTAAATAGCAATTTGAAATAGAATGAGAAAATATGCTTTAAGAAGATGAAAATCTTATTAGTAATTTTGGGAATCACTCCTAGGAATTTTTGGGCTTCACACCTAAAGTAGGATGTATCACATAATCTTAAGAAAGACATTGAGTTTGCAGAAAAATTTTATTAATGATAAAATTTGACTTCCCTTTGTGGAGAAGTCAATATTTATAGGTGTTAGAACAAAATTAATTCCAAACCTAATTAGAACTACTAACTAGAATAGAATTCTAGTAAAAAACTAAAAAACTAAACTTTCTTATTCCCATATTTATTAAAATATTAATTACCAAAAATAATTATTAAACTCGGCCCAGCCCGACGGTTCAACCGGTTGTTCAACCAGTCAACCCAGTGAACCGGCCATAGAACCGGACCAGATTGCTAATTAGATCGTTTGGGCAGTAGAATCGTTGACTTTTCAATGAATCAGCGGTTCAACCGATCAACCCGGTGAACCGGTTTTTTTGTGAGGAACCCGGGTTGTTATGCGAAAAATTTTTAGAAGATGTTGCATTGACGGTTCAAAATTGGGACGTCAAGTATAAGAATGTAATACAATCACTACTGAACCAGCAATCCATTTATTAGTTGATTGGTTCTTCTTATATTATATATTAGACATTTATTCTTATTTTATTTCTTCAAAACAAAATTTATTTGGAATCTTTTAATAAAATTTTTTTTTTCCAAATTCCATAAGGCAAATTTTAATAAAATAACATTATCTAGTTTATTTCCATAAGTTAAAACCAAAAGTTTGTTAAAAATAATGAAATTTCCATAAGGCAAATTTAAGTTTTGTTGATTCTTATAAGAATTAATGATTCTATAATAAATTAGACTAATTGAACATTTACTAAGGCATAGTTTATTATAATTTCAACCATATAAAAACTTATAAGACATAATATTTAAATATATTTAGTGACCCACCGGTTGGACCACTCACTCAATGGTTGAACCAGTAACCTGTTGACCCCCTCTTTCACCGGATTCCCCCCCGGCCTGAGTTTAATAACTATGTACTAAACAGAAAATTACCATAAACATAAAATTCCTGCATTTATCTAAATTATTAAAACACTCCTGCTGGTGAAAATCAGGAAATGAACTCGATAGGATTCAAACCAACTCCCAAGTTGGTTCCTTATCATCAAAAGCATGCCAAATCAATGTTTGGGCATTCAACACATCCTTCACACGCCTCCTATAAACCTTAGTGGATTTTTGTCATTTATCTCTATCATCTCTCCTCGGCTTGAGAAGACTCAACCCTGCTGAGTTAATGGCCTGATACCTTCCATAGAAATTTGCGTCCAACTCCTAAAATTCAGATTCGGTAATCCATGTACAATTTGTACTCGGTCGTCCCCTCTAATGAATAAGATACTTTTGGTAGTCGCCCCCTCTAGTTAACACAATTTGGTGGTCAAGAACATCTTCAATTGCTTCACGTAAGCGTGTAGGAGGTAGAAAAGCAGCCTTAGAAGTCCTACTTGCTGAATCATCTAAATGACCATCATAAGCAGTCAAATCTTCAATATTTAACACATTGATAATCCTCATATCTTCAGGTAACTCAAGAACATTAACATTTGAGCTGATTTTATTGAGAACCTTGAAAGGACTTGCACTTCTTGAATGTAGCTTCTTGTAGACACCTTTAGGATACCTCTCTGGCCGAATACAAACCATAACTTCATCCCCTTCTTCAAATTCTGCAAATTTCTTCTTCAAATATGCATGTGCTTTGTACCTTTCATTGCTAATAGCAATTCGGCGTCGAACTTCATCATGTATACCCAAAATATGGTTAGAAAAAGCCTCAGGTTCAGCACTTGGACGAGCGCTAGCTAGTAATGGAAGCAAATCAATTGGTTTGCGAGGATTATTTCTTGTTACAGCCTCAAAAGGACTATAACCAGTTGATCGATTCAATGAACTATCGTAAGCAAATTTTGCCATTGGTAGAATTTGATCCCAAGTGGAAATATGATCACCAACCAAACACCGAAGTAGATCACCAAGGTTGTGGTTAACAACTTCTGTCTGACCATTCGTGTGTGGGTGGAAAGAAGAAGAAAACTTGAGTTTTGTGTGTAGCATCTTCCTCAAAGTCTGTTAAAAGTAACTCATAAACTTCATATCCCTATCTGAAACTATAGTCATTGGCAGTCCATGAAGTCTAACTACCTCTTTGAAGAAAATATTTGCAATATGGACAGCATCCAAAGTCTTACCACATGGGAGAAAGTGAGTAATTTTTGAAAATCTATCCACAACTACTAGTATAGAATCATAACCTCGTAATGTTCTTGGTAGTCCAAGGACAAAATCCATGCTCAAATCCTGCCATGGTTCATGTGGAATGGGTAGTGGTATGTAAAGACCAATGTTTTTCTTTCGCCCTTTGGCCAATTGGCAAACTCAACATCTAGCAATAGTCTTGCCAACATCACGTCTTATACTTGGCCAATAGAAGCGATCTTGCACCATGGCAATTGTCTTGTCACATCCAAAGTATCCAGAAGCACCTCCATCATGTAATTCCCAAATTAACTCCTCCCTCAGTAAGTACTAGGAACACAAAGTTAAGTCCCCTTGAAAAGATAGCCATCATGGACGGAAAAACTAGCATATTCTACTTGTTTACCGGCCATTAAATCCTCATATATGACCTTGAACTCTCTACAACGAGGATAATCTTGCATTAGTGAATCAAAACCAAGCACTTGAATAGCCATAGCAGTAAGAATAAGATGCACACGACTAAGTGCATCAACCACCTTATTCTCAACGCTTGCCTTGTGTTTGATAACAAAATTGTATTGTTGAGGGAAAGAAACACATTTGCTATGCCAGTGACTCAACTTCTTCTAAGAATTTATATATTTGAGGGCCTCATGATTAGAATATAGCAAAAATTCCTTTAAAATAAGATAATGATGCCAATGGCGAATATATTGAATAACATCGTAGAATTCCTTGTCATAAGTAGAATATTTATGCTTTGCCTCATTCACCTTTTCACTAAAATAAGCAACAGGATGACCTTCTTGACTAAGAACTCCGCCAATCCCCACTTGAGAAGCATCACATGCGACCTCAAACACCCTAGAAAAATCTAGCAGCCTAAGCACTGAAGCTTTGGTCATTCGCTTCTTCAATTCTTCAAAAGCCTTAGTTGTAGCTTTTGTCCATTAAAACTGTCCATGCTTTATGCAATCAGGGAGCCATAATAAAGCTAAATCCCCTTATAAATCGTCTATAGAATGAAGCTAGCCCATGGAAATTGTGAACATCCTTCAAATTAGAAGGAACCGGCCAATCTACTATTACCTTCATCTTTTCCAGATCAGTAGCTATCTCTTCATTTGAAACAACAAAATCCAAAAATACAACACTATGAGCCATGAAAGTACACTTCTTCAAGTTGATATAGAGCTTTTTCTTGACAAAAAACTCTCATTACTTGTTGAAGATGGTTAATGTGCTCTGCTTTGTT